TGCCAACATTGTTACTTGTATTCTTGATAATTGCCACTCTGACTGGAGTGAGATGAAATCTCAGTGTAGTTTTGATTTGCATTTCTTTAATTGCTAGAGATGTTGAATATTTTTTCATATATTTGTTGACCGGCCGTATTTCTTCTTCCAGGAAGTGTCTGTTTAGTTCCTTTGTCCATTTATTGATTGGATTATTTGGGTTTTTCTTTTTTGGTGTTAAGTTTTTTTTTTTTTTTTTTTTTTAGTTCTTTATATATCCTGGAGATTAATGCTCTATTTGAGGTGCAGGTGGCAAAGATTTTCTTCCATTCTGTAGGCTCTCTCTTCATGTCAATTGAGATTTTTAAGTTGCTGTAATTTTGTCATTTGACACCTGGGAGCATTGAGTGCTCCAACTTGCCCAGTATTGTGAGTAGTAGGAGCTAGCAGGGCAAATAGCAAAGGGGTCTTGGTTGACTGTACCCCAAAGCTGTTCAACCAGTAAGCTCTGGTGGCTGAGAGCTATGACTCCTCCACTAACCAGCTGCCTGATCTCGGTGCACTTCTATCCTCTCTGAGCTCATTGTTTCACCAGTAGAATGAGGACCACAGCATCCATCTCTGGGGTTGTGAGGGTCAGGAATCGTCTCTGATTTAAAAATCAGTACTAAGGGGGCTGGGGTTGTGGCTTAGTGGTAGAGCATGTATTAATGCACTGGGTTCAATCCCTGGCACCACATAAAAACAAATGAAATAAAGGTATCATGTCTATCTAATATATATATATATATATATATATATATATATATATATATATATATATTTTATTTTATTTTTTTAATCAGTCCTGAGGTTGAAGACAAGCCCCAGATTCCCACAGAAACCTCCCCAAGCTCATGCTACTTCTGCAGCCTATGCTTTTGGCTGTCCACAAGGGCCTGTCAGTGTACAGGTATCCCACTAAAGTTAAATCTAGGAGTTTCTTGGAGGAGAAAAATATCATCTATGCTGCCTAGATGGCCTTCTACTCTCCCATCCTTCCTTCCTATTTTTTTTTCCACTACTGGAGATTGAACCCAGGGGTACTTCACCACTGAATCACATCTCCAACCCATTTTATTTTATTTTTTAGTTGTAAGTAGATACAATACCTTTATTTTATTTATTTATATGTAGTGCTGAGGATCAAACCCAGTGCCTCACATGTGCTAGGCGAGTGCCCTATCACTGACCCAGCCCTCATTTCTTTTTTTTATGTTGAGTCAGGGTCTTGCTAAGTTGCTGAAGCTTGCCTTGAACTTGCAATCTTTCTGCCTTGGCCTCTGGAGCTGCTGGGATTACAGGCATGTGACACTATGCCAGGCCACTGTTGAGGGCCCCAGGAAGACAGCTGTGCAGACACAAGATCTGATGGGGCTCACCTTTCTTCTAGTTCTCAGAGAGTTGGTTATTAGCTGCCATCTGTGAGGCAGCAGGGGTGACCTTGGCCTTAGACTGTGACAGTCATAAGGAAGGTCCCCACATGGACATTGGTGTAAATTGGACAGCAGGAAAGTGCAAATTTGCACCATCTGGTTACTTCTGAAATGCTTTATGTACACATAATCACTTCTCTTTATCCAACCTGAATAGGAAACAGAAACTACATGTTTCTTTATTCTGTTTTGGTTTTGGTCTGGGATTTAACCCAGGGGTGCTCTACCACTAAGCTACATACCCAGTCCTTTTTATTTTTCAATTTGAAACAGAATCTTGCTAAGTTGCAAGAGTCTCACCAAGAGGCCGCAGCTGGCGTTGAATTTGAGATTCTCCTGTCTCAGTCTCCAGGGTACCTGGGATTACAGGTGTGTGCTACCACAACCAGCCATATTTATTTTAAAAAGGAGTTAGGAGCTGGGGCTATAGCTCAGTGGTGAAGCACGTGCTTAGCCTGTGCGAAGTCCTGTGTTCCATTCCCAGCACTGGGGTCTAGGGGTGGGGGCAGTTTATTTGATGTACTTTATCCCTGTAGAAGTATAGGAAGTTAGAAAGTGAAGGTGACAGAGGGAGTTATCACTCATGCACCCCCATGGCTATGATTAAGGTGTTTTCTGTTTCATCTTTCTCATTTATTCAACAACAATCTACTGAGATTTTACTACATGCCAGGATGATTCTAAGTTCTGGAAACACAGCAAGATGACTGGTATTTCTTCTCCCCAAGAGCTCCCTTCTACTAAGAGAAGAGAAAAAATAAACAAAGAACTAATACACACACACATACACACACACACACTACAGAAAAAAAAAATAAAGTCAGTAGTTAGGACTCAGGCATGAAGAATTGAAGATATGAATCCATGAAGAAAAAAGAGAAGATTTCCTGGATAAGGAATGTTTGAGGAGACTTGAAGTAACTTGGGAGAATGGTCTTTGTAGACATCTAGGGCCGAGCATTCTAGGCAGAAGGGAGAGCACATGCAAAGGTCCCGAGGTGGGAGCATGGCTTGTGGTTGGAGGACAGAAGGAGGCCAGTGTAGCTGGAATTCAACTAAGCCAGGAGACAGAAGAAAGAGAATCCTGAAGGGGATGAGGCTGGATCTGATAGGACAGCAGTTTCCAAACTTGAATGTGCACACAGATCTCCTGGGAATATGTTAAAATGCAGGTTGTGATGCAAGTCTGTACTGGAGTGTGGCAGTGTGCATTTCTAAAATGTGGCCAGGTAATTGTTATGCTCCTGTGGACCACTCTGTGCTTTGTAGAGAGATTGCAGCTTTGTGTGCCAGGATAAGGATGTGACCTTTCCTCTGAGGGAACTGAGAAGTCTTTAAATTATTGTTCTGAGCTGCAAAGCAATTTCATCTGACCTCTGTGTGTGTGTGTGTGTGTGTGTGTGTGTGTTTTGTTGTGATGGAACCCAGGGTCCAGTGCATGATAGGCAAGTGCTCTGCCTCTGAGCTACATCCCCAGAACTTGACCTTTGTTTTCAAGAAATTGCACTGACTGTTGGTTAGGCTCCAGAGAGCAAGGGTAGAAGCCATTGGAAGCCCACTGAAAAACTGGGGTGCAGGGAGGTGCAGGGAAGAGCACAGCAGTGTGTGGTTTGGATAGGAGAGAGGAAGGGTGATGGGGGAAGGGGCCAGATGCTGAAGATATTTTGCAGGTGATCACAAGGATTTGCTGACTGTGCATGGTGTGTGAGAGGGAGGAATCTAGGGTGACCAAGGTGTACTCTGAACAATAAGAAAAATACGTTTTCCACTCTCTGACTTGGAAGATAAAGTATTCGAAGGAAGAATCCTCAAATATTAATTGAACATTTGGATGCGGGTCTGACATTTGGAGGAAAGATCCTAGCTATAGCTATCAACTTGAGAGTCAGTGAACACAGAGCTGGCTGCTGTCTCCTAGGGGGTGATCATGAAGTTTGGCGGGGGGGTTTGAAGATGAAGCCCAGGAACATCCCAACACTTCAAGGTCAAGGAGATGAAAAGTAACCAATAAAGGGAACTGAGAAAAAGGCCAATGAGTAAGAGAAGACCCATGAATTTTTGGTCCCAGTAGTATCAGCTATCTGTGACTGAGAAACAAAGCCCCACTATTGCCATTTAGTGGCCTAAACAATATTTTACTACTTCTCATACTATGAATTGACTGGGAGGTTCGTTTTTATCACACTGATGCTATAGTATCCAAGATGGATTCGTTTGTGTCTGGAAAATTAGTGGTCCTGGTTGTGGGCTAAGGCAGCTCTATTCTCTCTGTGAAGTCTCTGCCTCCAGAAGATGAGATCACCTTCCCCACTGCATGGTAACTGGGTGACAGCAGCTGGGGCTGCTGGGCCTCTCAGGACCTAGGCCCAGAACTGTCAGAGCATCACTTCTGTCTGCCAGGTCCTATTGGTCAAAGCATTGAGGCTAGCCCAGTCTCAGGGCAAGAAACCAGGCTACATTTTTTTTTTTGTAGGGGCTACTGGGGATCAAACCCAGGGCCTCTCACATGCTAAGCATGTGCTTTTTCTCTACAACTGAGTTACACCGCACCCCAAGCTCCTTGATTTGCTGGAGCAGCAAGTTATCCTGTGTACACAAGGGAAAGAAAGACCACATGCTATGTTATATTTCCTCTATTCATAATTTTATATATTTGATTAAAACCAATAATTTAGGACAAGTGGTACAACTCGAGATGCTGGTAGTTAATTTTCTTCTTCCACTAGGCAACCATATGCTTTTGTGTGTGTGTGTGTGTGTGTGTGTGTGTGTGTGTTATTAGGGGTTGAACCCTGGGCTGCTCTACCACTAAACTACATCTCCAGCTGTTTGCCCTTTTTAACTTTTTTATTTTGAGACAGTCTTGCTAAGTTGCTGAGGATGGTCTCAAAGTGGTGATCCTCTTCCCTCAGCCTACTGAGTTCCTGGGATTACAGGCATGCATCACAGCACTTGGCTCAACCATGTGCTTTTTTAGTAAATCCTTTTATTTGTTTGGGCTGTTTCCTTATGTGGTCCACTACAGGACTAACAATCAGAGGGGAATGGTAGCACTAGATAACTTTAAAATTTTTCTGCATGTTTTTGTTTTGTTTTTTGTTGTCTTAAGGCCTGCAGTTTCTGGCCACGTTTTTTGTTTGCTTTTGTTTGTCTGTTTGTTTGAGACAGGGTCTCCCTATGTTGTCTAGACTTGTCTGGAATCAACTGATCCTCTCACCACAGCCTCCAGAGTAGCTAGAGTAGCTGGGATTACTAGCGTGGGCCACAGAACCCAGGTTAGATAACTCTTAAACTAAGTAGAAAATGCAGGTCAAGTGCTTGGCACAGTGCAGGGCACATGTTGTGCTAGCTACTGTAACTGCCTTATAAATCTCTATTCTCTGGCAGGAAGCAACATTCTGCACAGGGTTGGTGGCTGAGCTGGAAGAAGACCCTCTGAAGGCAGACTCTCTTCCTCTGAAGCTATCACAACTAACCAGAAGAAATTCTTTCCAGCACAAAGAACTCAACAAACCGGTTTAAAAAATCCCGTTTCTCCATGTTTACCTTCTTTATTATGTGTTTACTTCTTGACTGTTGAAATATTTAAGGACCTTGTAGAGACAAATTCCTTTCTATCATTCTTCCTTCTTCGTTCCTACACAACAAAAACACCACAGGCTCTATTGAGCTTACTTTGCGTCATGCTGACCACTGCTAGACATTTAACAGACATTATTTAGTTTATTCTTTACCACAACCTCCGGGAAAGAGGCGTTACTCCGGTTTTCCAGAAAAGGAAAATGAAGCAGAGAAGTTAAGGAACTTGCCCAAGGTCACAGAACTAAAAATGACAGGGTTTCAACCCAGGCCACAGATGCTAGAGAATTCAGAGAAAATCCCCATCACCCCAGTCAGCTGAGGTTAGCAGGAGCATGCACTTGTTTCTCAGTTACACTTTTCCCCTGGGCAGGAAGTGACCCCATCAGAACTGATGCCGGCAGATAGTGACTTGAACACTGGGCCCTCAGACCATGGACCCAGGCATTCTCTCTCTGGCTTGAGGGTTCCTGGCAACTCATTCAGCTCATTACCCCAGGGCGCTTATGTGTGCATGGGGTAGCGAGGGATACAAGCCAGCACCGCCTGGTTGTGTTCATTTTCAGGGGCGCAAAGAGCGATTGAAACTTTGGCTTCAGCTTGCAGAGATGCTGAACGGACCAAACTTTGGTCCTTAGACTCACCTGTGCGGTTCGATCGCTCCATTCACCAGTCTCTTACATTCCATGCCTGCTCATTCCCACCCCAGAAGGCTCCCTGCGCCCCAGTCCCTGAGCCTGCTCTCCCGTGGCACTTGCCCCCGCTACTATTGCCGGCTTGGGGAGGCTGTCTAGGCTTAAACAGAAACCAAAACAGCCGGACGCCCAGAAGCCTTGGGGAGGGAGGGCAGACCAGTGGGGCGCAGAACTAACCCATTTGGGTCCCGGAGCCAGCTCGGCTCCGCACTCCCTTCTAGTGCCCCTTGCTCAGGCTGCTCCCCTCTTCCTTTTCAGAGCGGGAGAAAACGGGTGGCGACCCCAGCGGGCTCAAGCTAACAGCTTCTGACCGGCGAGGAGTGGGTGGGGGCCGGAGGGCGGAGCAGGGGCGGAGCTCGCGGAAACTCCAAGTGGAGCCCCGACTCTTCTCATCCGCCTTGGGGCGTCGGGCGAGATGGCGACGCGCAGTGTGGGCCGCGGCGTCGGGCGGCTGCTGGGCAGCCTTTGTAGGCGTCCGGGGCTGCCGGTGCGGCCCCTGCGCGGGCTGAGCGCTCAGGGCGGGGCAACTTCCCACCTCTCGGGGAGCGCCCCCGCCGTAGCCGCAGCGCAGCGGGGTTCGTATCTCGCTCTGAGCGCTCAGGCTGCCCAGGAGCCGGCTGCCTTTTGGGGGTCGCTGGCGCGAGATATGCTAGTGTGGGACACCCCCTACCACACTGTCTGGGACTGCGACTTCAGCAGTGGCAAGATCGGCTGGTTCCTGGGAGGCCAGTTAAATGTATCTGGTGAGTGGCCTACGGGGGACTCTGGACGCCCCCGACTCACGAGTCCCGGGGATACTCAAGGAACCTCAGAAGGCAGCAGCTGTTCCTGGGCCAGGCGAATCGCAGCTGGCGTCTCGGCTGCCTTAGAGCAATCCCCTTCTCTAGTATTCCGCTCCACTCATTCAACCCTAAGGCATGTCACCCCGGTCCCGCATCCCTCCAGGTCCTAGGGAATGCAACCCCCTCCTGGCCAGCTGCAAGCCGGGAATCCACAAGTTCGGCTCCAGGCACTGCCTATGGAGTCTCGGCCCCACGTCAGCTTGGCCTTGTCCCAGGGAAGCTTCTCAACCGACCATCTCCTGAGTTTAATTACAGAGTTCCACAGTGTCTCAGAGCGCAAGCCTGTGGGGAGCATCGGACAACAAACTGGGCCAGGCTTGGGTGCAGAGTGCTTTGCTCAAGGAACCGGGACTTCCCGGCTCCTGTACCTGGGCGGGAGGGGAAAATGGAAAGCGTGTAATGGTTGTCACCTATGACTGCCGTGCCTGGGGACAGACCCTGCTGCGTAAACAGTCGTGGCGAATGGCCTGGGGAAGAGAAACACTGACACCCTTACAACCCCCACTCAGCGTCTGGAATCCATTATCTCCTTACTCAGGGGTTTGTGGGCGGGAAGTTCTCTCTCACCCCTCCCCTCTCCCCAAGACCTGCCCCTCAAAGACACAAACCCAGGTTTGGAACCGGTGGGACTCCAATCCCAGAAACTAGCTCCAGCAGACTGCTAATCCTCTGATTTCTGCTGAGCTGGAATCCAACTGTTCTGCTAAGATATGGGGGTGGGGGAGGTATATGTGGCTCTCTCACCCCAGTATAAGGCACTGAGGAGGTAGAAAGAGAAGGTCCTGGAACTGTAGGCCTGGCTGGACACATAGGGTGGGCCTCAGATGAAGGGCTGCTGTCCTGCAGGATGGGGATAATGGGTGTGGTGGGTCTGCCAGATGTTAAGAAAAGGACAACAGATCATGCCCTGGTCAAGGCCCAGCTTGGAGGTGGGATCCTGTCTCTTCAGCGTCATCATCCCAGTTATTCTACTCCTCTGAGCCTCAGTCTCTCATTTGGTTGTTGGTGTTTTGTATTCTTTCTTTCTCTCTTTTCTTTTTTCCTTGGAACTGGGGATTGGATCCAGGAGTGCTTTACAACTGAGCTACATCCCCAGTGCATTTAAAAACAAAAATATTTTTTCCCCCAAAACAGAATTTCACTAAGTTGCTGAGGCTGACTTCAAATTTGCAATCTTCCTGCCTCAGGATCCCAAGTTACTGGGATTACAGGTGTGGACCATTATGCAAGTCTCTGTCTCCTCATTTGTAAAAATAATGCTCACTTTTTAGACTGACTGTGAGGACAGAATGCTCACAGGTATGGAACAGGCTCTTTGCTTATTGGTGATCGATGAGCAGTAGCAATTTCAATATAGCATGAGATAGCATGAAATTATAGGTAGTGTCTATTTTTCAAGCAAACAAAAAAGAACTTTGGGCTAGCATTTTCCCCCACATTTCATGTTGTGCTACAGGCTTAATCAAGATGAATCACTTACTAGATAAGTGTTTTCTTTAAAACTGACTCAGCAGCAAATGTCCTTGAACTAATGGAGGTGTGTGTGTGTGGGTGGGGTGGTGGTGGTGGTGGTGGTGGTGAGAAATCCTTAGGTTTGCAGAGTTGATGGAATGTGCCCTTGAAGAGTTGATAAAGCAACATGCAGAAGCAAGAGGGCAGAAAGTATGCAGTTCCTTTATAGACTGCCTCTGGACTCTGGAGGCCAAGGCTACTGGGAACATCTATGGTTGGCTCCTGCACAGTTGCAACTGGTAAGACAGCGGATAGACCTCTTTGGGCTGACCAAGGATTCTATGAGCTAGGGTCAGGGGTAGTCAGCAAGAAATTCTGAATCTTTTTTCTTTCATTTATTTCTCCTGAATAAAGGCTTGATAGCTCATATTCTGCTCCACTCATTCAACTCTAAGCCATGTCACCCCGGTCCCACATCCCTCCCGGTCCCACATCCCTCCCGGTCCCAGGGACTGCAACCCCCTCCTGGCTAGCTTCAAGCCAGGAATCCACAAGTCTGGCTTCAGACACTGCCTGTGGAGTCTCAGCCCCAGACATTGACCTTCAGAAAACTGTCTTGTAGAAAAGCATCTATTCTGTAGCTTTCTCATCTCAAATGGGCATTCCTAGCCACTCATCAGTCAGCCACTTCCTTGTTCATTGCAGACCAGTGTCTGTGGACCAGAGTGGTAAGAATAAGAAAAAGAACAAGCCAGGCTGTGGCTTCACTAGGAGCCACCTAGAAATTTGTGGAAGGGATGCTTTGACCTAGTATCTCTCTCTCTCTCTCTCTCTCTCTCTCTCTCTCTCTCTCTCTCTCTCTCTCTCTGTGTGTGTGTGTGTGTGTGTTAAAACCAGCAGGATGACTTGTTTGCCAAAATCATCCCTCTTGAAACTTGTGTTACTCCTTCAGAAATATCTAGATCTAGACCAGCAGTTCTCAAAGCATGGTCCCAACTGGCAGTATTTCCTTACCTGGGAACTTTTTGGACATGCAAATTCTGGGGCCCATCCTAGACTTCCAGAATCATGAACCCTAGGAATAGGGACCTTTCATCTAGAATTAACAAACCTTCCATGCATAAGGATGTGCACCCAGGTCTAAGAATCACTGACATATATTCTCCAAACAGAGGAAGATGAAAGACCTTCTAAAATAGGCAGAATTGGGATACACATGCTGGAAATAACCCTACTAAAGAAACAAACAAACAATGGCATGTGGGTGTTACAGTACACTTTAGAGGTTCCAGGTGGGTCTTTTGAGTCACACCTAGGTTGGAATCTTTGGGTTCTCTTTACTATACTTTGCTTTTTTCCTCATCTATAAAATAAGGATTGATTGTAAGCGGATTCTATTCCAGTTACCATTTTTGCATACCAAGCCTCCCCCAAGTTTAGTGGCACAAAGACAACTACCTTTTTATTATGCTCACATATCCTGTGGGTCAGAATTCTAGAAATAGCCTGTGAGGATGACTTGCTTCTCTCTCATACTTGGGGGAGCATCTGCTTGCTTCTCACTCCTGAGTGTGAGGCTGGTTGGTACTATTGTGAGAATATGGTCTGTCCCCTCAAAACTCCCCACTGTGAGGTTAAGATGGAAACAATCTAACCATAGTATTCAGAGGTGGGATTTTGGAATGTGATTAGGATTAGATAAGGTCATCATGGTGGAGCCTTCATGATTAAATCCTGGTCACTTTATAAGAAGAGGACAGAGATATAGCAGACACACAGACAAAGTCTCTGTATCCTGCCATGTAACACCTTTGTACCACCTTGGGACTCTGTCAACAAGAAGGACATTACCAGATGTTCTTCAAGGCAAGCTCTTTAACCTCTAGAATTGTGAACTGAATAAACCTCTTCTTTGTTAAATTATTCTGCTGTGATATTTCATTATAGTCACAGAAAATGTACTAATACAGTTTAAATGACTTGAATCACAGGTTGGGCTCCACTGGTAAACTACACACAGCTTCTCATACCCAAAAATTACACAGAATTTCTCACGGCCTGATGTCTAGGCCCAGGTAATGTCCTGTGGCCTGAAGTCCAAGAGATCAATGCAAAAATTGTTAGGCTGATAAGCCTATTTGACCTGGGAGGGTTACCTGTTTGCCCAAGTTTCCTTATTGATGAGGTTTATCAGCACTCACCTCCTAGGGCTCTTGTTAGGATTAGATAAGACTTATAAAGCACTCAGCACTGTTTTTAATGTATTACAGCCCCAATTACTGACCAATGTTAATTATTAATGAAACATTTGGGGAGACTGTGTCCTTGAATTTGGCCTTCAGCAGCTGCTAAGAACTGTGTTCCATCTGCACTGGACCATGTGTGTTTGTATCTGATCATCCCAGGATGGGTGAGAAGCTGACTTTGGAAAACACACAGGCACCCAAATTGCTCCCAAAGCATCCCAGTACCCTGCCTATTCAATGCTTTGATAGCCAGGTGGAATGAGGATGTCACTGCCCCCAGAGCAGCTAGGTAGATTCTCCACTCCCTTCAGTGACTTGTCTCCTTTGCCTTTATGTAGGTCTGCTTTGCAGGAGGTTCTTTGGAAAAATAAATTCTATAAAGGGATTCTTTCCCACCTTTGAAATTTGGTTCTGTTTTTTATAGGGTGCACAGGTGTTTTTGCTCTGTGGCATGTAAACTGAAGAAGTCAGGAAGTTGCAAATGAAGAGTCGCAGCATAATGATGTGTGTGTGGCTTTCAAAACACACAACTGGGCTTTAATTTCTAAACCCTAAAATTTGAGTCTGATTTATTTTAAAAAATGGGTGTATTTGTACTTAAGCAAGAATGTAAATAACTATTTTTAACCAAGCATTGATCTCCCCGCTATCCCCCTGGGGTGCCGGGGATCAAACCTAGGGTTTCACAGGTGTCAGGCCATAGCTCTACTACTAAGCCGCATCCCCAGCCCAAACAGTGAGAGGTTTTTTTTTTTCTTTTCTTTTTTTAGTGTGTGTATGATGCTATGGATGAAACCCAGGACCTCACATGTTGGGCAAGTGCTGTACCACTGAGCTATACCCCCAGTCCTCTTGGATGATTTTTGGAACATGAATTATAGGAACAGAAA